TTATAGCCATCCTATTAGGTTTAAAGTGGGGTCTTATTGTAGTCTTGATCTGCATTTCCCTAGTGGCTAATGATGCTGAACATCTTTTTGTGTGCTTATTGCTATTTGTACATCTTCTTTGGAGAAAAGTCTATTCACATCCTTTATCCATTTTTAATGGGTTATTTATCTTTTTGTTACTGGGTTGCAAGAGGTTGTCTTTTTTTTTTTTAAATAGAACTGAGATACATATTCCTTATCAAATACATGATTTGCAAATATATGATTTCCTCTCATTCTTCAATTTGTATTTTACTCTTTCAGATAGGCTTATTTGAAGCACAAGTTTTAAAACCTTGATGAAGCCCAATTTGTCTAGTTTTCTTTTGTAGCCTAGGCTTTTGGTGTCATATATAAGAATCCACTGTCAAATCCAAGATGACAAAGATTTTATTCTATGTTTTCTTCTAATAGTTTAATAGATTTTGCTCTTACATTTAAATTTTTGATCTGTTTTGAATTAATTTTTGTACATGAGAAATGTGAAGACTCCATACATTTTGTACGAGAAATATATACATTTTTATATGTAAGGTAAGTATCCAACTTCATTCTTTTACATGGGGCTATCCAATTGTCCCAGCACCATTTGTTGAAAAGGCTATTCTTCATTTCACCCTTGATTTTGGTATCCTTGGCACTCTTGTTGAAAACCAATTCACCACATACTTTTGGGCTTGTTTCTGGACTCTCAGTTCTATTTCATTGATCTATATGTCTGTCCTTTTGGCAGTATCACACTGTCTTGATTACTGTTGCTTTGAAGTAAGTTTTGAAATTAGAAAGTGTGAATCACCCAAATTTATTCCTCTTTTTCATGTTTTGACTATTCTGGGTCCCTTGAATTTTCATATGAATTTTAGAATCAGATTGTCAGTTTCTACAAAAAACAAAAACAAAACAGCAGCTGTGATTCTGAGAAAGATTGCATTGAGTCTGTAGATCAATTTGGGGGTGCACTGCCATAACAATATTAAATCTTCCTATCCATGAACATGAGATGTCTTTCCTTTTATCTAATTATTTTTGATGTTCTAGAGGAATGATATGATGTAGCTATGTCACTAGGAAAATAAAAATGATATTCCTTAGTTATGGGATAATAAATGATTTTGATTTTATTTTTATACGTTTCATTATCTTCTAAATTTTCAGCAACAAAAATATCTCTGATATAACCAGAGAAAATTTATTTTCAAAGGAAAATATTATACTATAAAGTATACTTATATTTAAAGTATTCATAAACATGGAATAGTCTTGGAAATGAAAATGCTTGAAAGATTTTTCAATATACATGAACATACCACTGTTTATTCTTGGTCACTTATTCATCAGAATTTACTGACTGAATGCTATATGGCAAATATTGTGCTAGATCCTGAGTGTCCTGTTTGCACAAAACAGACATGATTCCTGTCACCGTGAAGGCTATAACTAGTGGCAGAATGACAAAGAAAAAAAAAGGAAATAAAATAATAAATAGAAATGCAATTATAAGTTGTAAACAGTGCTTTGGAAGAAAGCCATGATGGAGAATAATGCTGGAGCAGAGCTACCCTACTTTGATATAGTGGTCATGGAAGCTCTCTCTAAGGCAACAATGTTTGAGTTGAGGCTTGGGGACTAGATATAAATGTAAATGTTGGTTTTAGATATTTGTCAAAATGTTCGACATAAATAGTTTCTTAAATTGAAGGGTAAAAATAAGAAGCTCTAAAATTTCAAGGGAAATTAATTTCAGTAAGTAGAGTAAAACCACCATCTCCTGTAACATGATAAACAGGACCCCAAAAATTCAATACCATGAAGTGTGGGATTAAGCCACTGTAAGATTAACAAATGCACCAGAAGAGCCTGCTGTCGTCACACTGTGCAGCCCGAGTCCTGCCCTGTCCAAGCTGCTGCTTGGCTCCACCCGACAGTAGTTGTCTGCTCCTGCTTAACCAGCCACATAGGGATGATTCTGGGTCCCTTTGGCAGGCTGGGAGCTCCTGGGCAGGAGCAGCAATTCCAGAAACCTCCAGCTAGCTCATGCCGTTTTTGTCAGCCTGATGGGGAAGGTTGGGCCAAGAGAATATTCAAGACACAACGCCCTAACTTTCAGCTCCCTGCCTCCTGCAATGGTGTACCCTGACATTCCCACTCATGGCCTCGATCTCTCTTCCACTTATCCTTCCTCCAAACATACGACCTCCAGCTTACTCCTGTTTGAGAATGAGGGCTAGGTAAAGGACTGGAGACAATATAGTTGAATTCGGGTTAACACGGAGGAGTTTCATCTTGTGTATTGGTTGCTATTTGCCTACCCAATACCCAATTCCTGCTCGTAACTAGAGAACTCAGCTTTTGTTTAGGGAGGCAACTCTGCTGTAAGTAGGCATGGTAGGGTGATGTAGTCTGACAAAAATGACATCAATTAAGGGATTTGGAAAAGCTGTGCTTTGTTTGATGACACAGACATCATTCATTTCAGCTTCCTTTTACACTTTCCTCCCTAGAACTTGGAGATAAAGTTGTAGATAGAGCAATCATTTTAGGACTGTGAGATAACCATAAGGATGAAAGCTCTATGTGAAGAATGGTGATGCAGAAAGATAGAAGGGAACTGGGCATTGGTACCCTTATGGAGCTGCTGCCTTAGCCTGGTTGGCCCACCTCCAGACTTCTGGGTGTGAAGGCCAACCCTTATTTGACTGTGATTAGGCTTTTATTATATATATATAGCCAAATGGAAATCCTAACGGATGCAGCTATTTTACCATTAGCTAAAATTTGACATCTTTTGAAGAATTCAAAGTCTTTAAGGTTTTAAAATAGAAAGCCCAACTCTCATGTTTAATAAAAGGGAAACTCACAGCACTCCACATCTTATCATGCACTGCAGAGTGGTCAGTAAAGTCATTAAACAGGGACAGCACAACGGAGTCGCATGGGAGAGGGAGTAGTTATTTTCATCAACCCCATTCCCCAAGCCATACCAAATAAACATATATTCCAGTAAAACTGTGCTTGCTCCATAAACACACTTCTAGACAAATTCTTCAGTGCCTCCTTTCAATAAGATTGCCATCCCTGAAGTCCTCCTCTTTAGAAAATCTGTCACAGCCTAAAAATAACTTCCAAGGCAACTCTGCCCACAGTTAAAAGTTTTGGCTTTGGGTCTACTACTGCACATATCTTCCACCTTTCAAGCAGATATATTAAAGTGATGTGACACAAGGAACAAGTTTTTCCCACTTTTGCCCCAGTGGTTTTCTACCTTCATCTAAAATTCCTTCTTTACCATCACCTCCTTTACAATGCTTCACCCTCCAAAATAAAGTTCTCAAATTATGCTTAAGAATTCATTATCCTTCAGTGTCCATTCAGCTCCCATTCAAAATAATATGAGCATTTATATAGAAAGTGCAGTTTGGATAAAGCAACACACCAATAGGATTAGAGAAGGGGTAGGAGAGAATTCTGTTAGCTTTCTATATGCTCTCTTGCTCATGTGCAATTAAATTCTTTTTGCATCTAACATAAAGAACGTAGATAGTTTCACCTTTGCAAATAAGATAATGGCTTTTCAAGCAGGAAAATAACAACAAAAAATCTAAATTATTCGATGAACCCAGAACCAAAACAGGGAAAGATTTCCAGATAAAAATCTAAGTGATGTCAACTAGAGTTACATATTTTTTTTTCATTTCAGAACATAATTACTCCAGAACATAGAATTTTCTGATATCTTTCTAATGTTTCCCAGTGAAACTTCAGAAAAGTAGTAAAATGCAGGTAAGAATCATCGTAACTGAGTAGTCCCAAATAAATAAGTATTTTTTAATTGCCAAATTCTTTTACATGTCAAATCACCTGTTTCAGAGATCTTTTTTTAATGGAGGAGGGGGGATTCCCCCACTCTTTTTTTCTAGGTAGGCAAGGACAATCAGCAGGACGTATCCTGGGATTTTCAGATCCACCAAGACAAAGGCTAAAGAAACACGCAATACATAATTTAGGCTGCCTATTCCCTTGAAGGCAATTCAAATTTTGGTGCGTACGGTCTTCAGCGCCCAGTGTGGATCTTTCACACCGTAAAACATTACAATTGCCTTCTTGACCATCAGTGTCTGATAAGTGATTAAGAATTTGGGCAGAAGT